ACTCCAGGTACGGTCTCACTCAGAGGAGGGGCTTCTTCTCGTCGTTGATGGAGGCTAGCCTGCGTTAGACGGATATAGCTAATATTTAAATGATTTGTTGTTTTCCTGGTTGTTGTTGTTGTTGTTTTGTTGCTTTGTTTTTTTTTCTTCAGGTGGATGTTTGTGTTTCTGTACATCAGGTTGTCAGGTGACCACACAACTTCTATTTTTGTATGTGAGATCATCAGTCGTGATCATCTTTCTGAACGCGTACCGAGGCAGGCTGCTGTGTACTGGAGTACCTGCTGTGTACTGGAGTACCTGCTGTGTACTGGAGTACCTGCTGTGTACTGGAGTACTACTGGAGTACTGTGTACTGGAGTACCTGCTGTGTACTGGAGTACCTGCTGTGTACTGGAGTACCTGCTGTGTACTGGAGTACCTGCTGTGTACTGGAGTACCTGCTGTGTACTGGAGGGCTTTTAAGACGACGGTGACGCGACCCCGGTTCTGTCGGTACGACAGGACTTCTCAGTGTAAATTCTGTTATTGTACATACGGCGTTATTGTGAAATATTTTTGAGAATAATTCCGACCCTCTCCCGTTGTTCTGTGTATATACATGTACTCAGAGATAAATGTACTTGATAAATATCTATAATGAGTGTTTGAAAAAGGACAAATTCATCAGACTGTGGCTGTCCCCGGCGTCTTCTCATATAAATACTTTCTACACTTTTCAGTGTGCTTTTCTGTACATATGGTATTAGCATGATCAAACATCGTTTGGTTGTGAAAGTGGTTTTCCTACTCCCGTAACTGCTGTGGTATGGAATGCCAAACATTAAAGACAATCTTTTATCACTTCCAATGCTTCCCTCCTTACATTTGACGTGGAGAATGAACCCGTAGGGGGCGCTGTTTCTCACTGATTACTGCATCTCCAAGTAAAGATAATGTGTTGGTTTGCGTGTGAAGTCGCTCGGTCGATCAAGTGGTATTAGGGCTCCCTCTGGTGGTACATGTGGAAACCTGATCGTGAAGGTGAGCCACGTTATTGTTAAAAACTGCAGTGACGTATTCCTCTGTGGGTCAGTGTTTGGTTTTCGAACTACAGCACCACTGGTGCACCGAGGGGGGCAGACGTGAGCACACCCGCTGCTTATTACTGCTGTTCTTCTTCCGAAGAGACAGGTGGCGCTAGTTAGCCATAACAGGAAGTCAAGTGTCCTGTAGAGGTCCGCCGGTCCATTCATTTGTAGTCACTAATTTACTGAACTGTTGAACAAGTCGTTCTTTTCAGACGGAGTGCTTCACTGACATACTACCTGTATGACAGTCATAACAATAATACCAATAATAATAACAACAATAATAATAATATTTCATAGCATTGATTGAGTTTTAACTGACAGCGTAGAGCACGGTGATATTTACTGAACATCAATGGTGTTTTTCTTTTATTATTATTATTTGATAACTTGTTCAAATGACTAAATTCTGATTGATGAACAAACCCTCCTGCAGTACCTCCATAGATCCAGTAGGCGTCGCAGACCCTCTGCCCTGGAGTGCAACGTTGCTGCGTTGGATTCTGATGAAGATATTGATAATATTGATAGATAATCCTTTAGGAAATCGTTGTGATTTATTTTGGTACAGCGTGATCAGTCCGAGTGACACAGTACAGTGTGACGTACACTTCCACGTGTTGTTATCGTTTGGGTTGTTGGTTAAATGCCCGTGTCTGCCTGAGTGAAGCAGCAGCTGGAACCACGGGCGTCATCCTGCAGTGTTTGTAGGAAAATAAAAATAACCTGCGGTCGACGCTGCCTGCTGTTGTGCTCACTGTCTCCCCCTGGCTGTGAGTCAGTGTGAGAGCACCGCCTGGTGATGACGTGTCTCCTGTACGAGTGAAATAAAAACTGCTTTCATGTCAGGAAACAAAGAGCTTTAATAATTGAAACAATAGTTATAAATAAAGATTAAACAAGCTACGTTTAAATCAAAATCCAACAAAACGAACAGAATATTGAACAGTAAAGAACATTAAAAAAATGTACAAATTTTCTAAAAAACTTTGAGGCAAACATAGTCATAGTATAAAAGCATCGTGGAGTAGAGCTCAGTTTGTCCTCGGAATATAATTTACAAATGTACTGAAGGATAAATACTGAGAACTGATCTCTGACTTGAGAAATATGTAAACCTCCTCAAACAGCTGTTCAGAGATGATGACGATGATGACGATGATGATGATGATGATGATCAGTAACGACAGACGTCTTCGTCCAGGTCTGCGTTGGTCTCTTCTCTGGTAGTGCATCACAGATTAAAGTCTAGAGCGCTGCTGCCGTGGGCGTGGCTACATCAGGCTGCGGTGGAAGAACACTTCCTCCTCCACGTCAGTAGGGGGCGAACTTCTGTCTCTCTGGCTTTTTGATGCAATTTGCTGAGGAGATTTTGGCGGTGTAGGCAGCCAGAGTGGTGTGAGAGGGGGTGGGGGGGGCTGCCACGGTGGGGGCGGGGCTGGAGGAGAGAGTCAGGAAGGGGACGGACTTCACCCCCAGCAGGCCTGACAGGGACATGGCACCGTACGGACCGCTGGTCAACACGTGACCCGGGGTCAGTGTGCTCAGAGCAGCCAGAGTGGGAGTGGGGGAGGCGGCGGGGGAGGCCGGCTGGGTGAAGGCCATGTTGATATCGACCGGCGCCGCCACGGTGGCGGCCTGGGCCGTCGACTTAGCCGTCTCCAGACTGGGGGGGACGGGGGGGGGGGACAGACGGGACAGACGGTTTAGAGGACGTGCTGTGATTGGCTACAGCGGTCAGACACACGGCGTGGACCTTACCAGGAGGTGATGAGGTAGTGGGCCAGGTTGATGCTGACCAGCGTCCCACTGATGGTGACGTGGCGGTCGCTGGTTCCGTCCAACTGGCTGCCAATCTTGATCTGAGCTCCTGAGACCTGACGGATCTCGTTGATCTTGGTTCCCTGACGTCCGATGATTGAGCCGATGAGCTGAGCAGAACAGACGGGGGGCGGGGTCAGTCAGTTTGATTGACAGCTGAATAACTGTGTGTGTGTGTGTGTGTGTGAGTCGATTCATCTCAGACTAATGGAAAACCAGATGTACATGATATTATGGTCTGTTGACCAGAGTGTTGTCAGTACTGCGATCAGAGGAGCTAACCCACAGCAGAGACCCTACAGCGGGGGGGGGGGGGGGGGGTTTGTGGGGGGGGGG